CAAAAGGCAGAAAAAATGAAAAGGAGCTGCACTTTTGCAATCCCCACTGTAAAACAGTGCATCAAGCCAAAGAGACCCAATCAAAATACCAATTCATCCATATTCTTCACAGAATGCTTGTCAGTACTAACACAAAACAGGGAAACCAAATCAAAGAAATAAAAAATGTCAATCCTTCAATTTGCTTGAAAGAATGCTTGCTACCACTCACACAAAACCAATTCATAAAGAACACCACAAAAGTTACAGAGAACCACCTTACCGGATCCCAGAAAGGAGAAAAGAGAAGGAGACCTTACTGGATCGCAAAGAGGAGAAAAGAGGAGACCTTACCGGATCGCAGAGAGGGGAAAAGCGAAGGAGAATCTCAACAGAGAGATCCAGGGGATGAGAGCAGAGAAGACAAACCTAGGGCACGGGATGAGGATCACAGAGGAAGAAGGAGAATTGCAACAGATAGATCCAGGAATCGCAGCTAGGGCACGGGATGTCGCTGGGGTAATATCGCAAAAGTTAAAAAGATACACGGGTCGCGGGCTTCAACCCGCGGGCGATGTCTAATAGATAAGATACACGTGTATTCTCGAACGCACGCCAACCGCACAAAACAAACATTCCCAGTGCGTTTTGCAAACACATAAGCAGCCCCAAACGTACCTTTAGTTGTCAGAAAGCTATGCATAAAAATGTGTATTTCACTTTTAAAAAGCAAGTAAAAGTGATAGTAAAGATTTGAGAATTATGCATCTAATATAGAAGTTTAGTTGTTTAGATATGCCAATGCATAAGAATTGTGTGGTACATGTAAATGTCCCTTTTCCCTTACAAGCAATATTTTTGGTTTCTCTCTTCAAGTCTCATACACATCGTCTGCTTCTTTTGCCAGGTAAGAGCAGAAGATGTTGCTGCTCGAGTGGAAAGCATCTTGGATGAGCTAAGAGCATCGAGGAATGAGGTTTCGACACTCCAAAACAAATTGGCGATGCTGAAAGCATCTGCTGCCAAGGAGAAGGCCATCACTGTCGGAACATCTAATATCAGGTGATTATGAATATGTGAAATTTACAATTCTTATGTATATACATACCTCACATCTAAACTTTCATATTTACCTACACTGCATTTTGGTGCTTCAAACCTATGCATGAAAAAGTGTATTTCACTTTTAATAAGTGATAACATTGCTATTTTTAATGCAATATTAAAATTTTGAGTGCTATATATATATAAATATGAAAGTTTAGGTGTGAGATATATAAATACATAAGAATTGTGTGCCGTACCCCGAATATGAATATTTATAACCCAACACACTTCCCTTTTACTCCCAACCTTAACTTTGCACAACTATATTTAAATCAAATATGAATGTTTCTCAGATTTATCATCGAGAACATGGGCGACACGGACTTTGATGCGCTTAAGAGTGCAGCTGAGTTCCTGATTGATTCGCTGCAAGATCCTGCAGCTGTGGTTTTGGGGTCATGCCCGGGCGAAGGGAAGGTGAGTTTGGTTGCAGCATTTAGTCCTGGTATTATTGGGATTGGACTCCATGCTGGGAAATTCATAGGAAGCATAGCTAAGATTTGCGGAGGCGGCGGAGGTGGAAGGCCTAACTTCGCTCAGGCAGGTGGAAAGAAACCTGAGAATTTGCCGGATGCGCTCGAGAAAGCTCGATCAGAGCTCATCGCTGCTTTCACTGATATGAAATAGGTGAAATTTGGAGTAAAGTTGCAATTCAACTTATCTTGCATTATTGTTCATGATGTCCTGAAGATTTATGTGGTTTCAAAGTTATTGCTCAGTGTAACATATATAAAATATAGTATAATATCATATTACCCATAGTTTGTGTACATTTGCAGTATGCGTTTGTGTTAGATTGATCAACTCTTCTGTGAATATTTGAAGTGAATTTGAACTGGAAAGAGTTATACAATGAAACTTTGAGTTGCATAAGAAATTTTCGATATTAATGCATGTATTGTCATAAATTTTGCTTAAATCATCATTGATCCTACCCCTCCTATGTATTAACTGGGCAATTCCACATATTGCAAATAAGACCATGAAACTCTTAAGAAAACTTGAAATTTAAAAATAAACTAAGTAGTATCGGTAGGATCGTTTCTTTATTTTTCTAGAAAAAAAAGGATTGAATTTTTATAAAAAAAAATGATACAGAATAGAAAGATTTGCATACATACCACCCAATTCCTATGTAATTACATATTTAACACTGAAATTGTACTTTCTGAATGTCACCTTTCCGATGCACGAAAAGGTGTTTCATTTTGAAAAGTCAAATGATATTGTGTTGTATTTTATGGTGTTTTTTAATTAGGGGTATTCTAATTTTTTTACTTTATTTACTTGTATATTCTAGTCTTCTATAAAAGAGACTTAGGGTCTGTGAGAGCTGCCTGGTGAGAAGTTTTGAGTTGTAATCCAAATTCGTTTTTCTCACATTTGGTGCTAGTGGAATCTCCACCCATGGACGTAGGCGAATTAACTTAACGTCGAATCACATAAATCTTTTGTGTATGATTGTTGTGTGAATTTACACACTTCCTCATTGTTTTTGCGTAACAATTAGTATCAGAGCGTGTAGTTTTTGGTTTGAGAATTGACGACATCAATTGGATCGTGTCTTGGCATCGATAAAAGCATATCTAGTAGTGTTGGTGACGATCTTTGCAGCAGATCGTTTGACGTGCTTTGCCGGTAGATTTGACGGTTGCTACGATAATCTCGACGACATAGTCATTGCTCAAAAAGCCCATTCAGTGAGCTATTGACAGATCTGTTAATTTAGATGAGGAGGTTGGATATGAAAACAAGACGCCTTTTCTATTGAATTTGTTCCCGGATAAGTACGAACTTCACTATGACGCTCATTCATAGGAAAGAGGTTTTGAATTATAGTGAATTTACTACGACGCTGTTAAATCATGACTTCCGTCGAAAAGACAAGGAGTCCACAAAAATGGAATCAGCTGAAGCACCTACACTCCAACGTGATAGATACAAGAACAAGAATAATTTGATAAAGAAAGGTGACAGCAACGACACTTCTCAAAAGTGGGGCAAGTATCGTAGGTGCAGTTAGGAAAAATCAGTGTGCTTACTTTTGAGAGACTAGTCATTAGAAGAAAATTGTTTGAAGCTGCAGGAGAAAGAAAAGAAAGTTGCATTTGAGGCGAAAGCAAATTTCATTATCGAAAGATGTGAAGAGGCGGATTCAAATGTATCATTGTCTGCAGTATTTCACATTTTGTTTACAGATGATTCGTGTTGAATTCTGAACACAACTGTTATCTATCATATTTGTCCTCATCAAGAATGGTTTTGCACGTACAAGGAACTGGATAGCAGTGCAGTGACTATGGACAAAGATCAAGCTTGTCGTACTATTAGTGTTGGGAGTATCTTTATCAGGATGCATGATGTTACTGTGAGAGAGCTAGCTGTTATTAAATATGTTCAAAATATCAGGAATAACTTTTTGTCAGTTGAGGCTTTAGAGTCCAAAGGCTATAAGATCGTTATTGAGGCAGAAGTTGTGATAATATATCGTGGAACAATGACTTTTATGAAGGGAGTTTGTCATCACAATCTTTACTACCTTCAGCGTAGTACATTGAATGGAATGACTGTTGTTGTTGATAATTCTTCTGACGCCACTATGTTGTGGCATATGCGGCTAGCACATGCTTGAGAGGCTTCACTTCAGGCTTTGGCGAAGAAATGATTGATCAAAGGAGTGAGCACTTGCAAGCTAGATTTCTATGAATATTGTGTGTCTGACAAGAAGACACAAGCATCTATTGGGACTGTCATCCACAATACATAAGATATTTTAGCGTATGTTCACACAGATATTTGGGTCCTGATGAAGACAACATCAATCAACAGGCGGAGAAACTTTGTCTCTTTTATTGATTTTTATTTTAGTTATGTATGGGTGTACACCATGAAGCGCAAAAGCAAGATGCTAGAAATTTTCATAATTTGGAAAAAGTGGATTGAGACTCATACTGGTAAAAAGATATGGTGTATCGAATCAGATAATGAGGGTGAATACACTTCAGATGCGTTCTTGCAAAGTGCCAAAGAGATAATATAGAGCACCACTTCACTGTTCGAGAGACACCACAACAGAATGGGGTGACAAAGAGGATGAATGACACTTTGATAGAGAAAGTTCGGTGTATTTTTTCTAATGCTGGGTTGGATATAATCTATTGCGTCGATGTCATAGAAAATGCTAGTCACTTGGTGAACCATCTGCCTTCTGCGGCTATTGAGAATAAGACCCTAAAGGAGATGTGTTCGGGCATCCTGCTAGAGATTATGAACACATGAGAGTGTTTGAGTGTCAAACTTAGTAATAAGTGCATAATGATAAACAAAAACCACGAGCAAATTAAGTGATCTTCATTGGCTTCAGGCGTGGAGTCAAGGGCTTTAAGCAGTATGATTAGTAAGAAAGGAAGATTGTCATTAGCACAAATGTTAAGTATATGAGGTAAGCTTTTTAAAATATTGAAACTCAAAGTGGGTGAAAAGTTTTACTGGGACCACAAATATGCAACAGAAGTTGGAGTTTGATGTAACTTCATTTGTTCCATAGAGTTCGTCCACTATGACTCAAACTTCTCAATCAATTGCAACTCATGAGGTATCTGTTGATATTACTTAAGAGAAGGCGGAAAAACTTGTTGAGGATGATTCCTGCTCAGGAATCTATTACAAGGAGCAGGACTAGGTGGCAGAATGTCCCAAAATCAGCTTGACTGAGAGATCACATTGCATTTACACTTTCAATCATAGAGACAGGAATTCTTTGTCACTACAAAGAACTGGTGGAGAGCCCATACTGCAATATTTGGAGAGCGATAATGGATGAAGAGAAGGAGTCTCTTTGAAGAATAATATTTGGAGGTTTGTGAAGCTGATGTGAGGTACAAGAAAAAATTAGTATCGAAAGGCTTTGCACAACGAGATGAGATTAATTATGACGAAGTGTTCTCTTCAGTAGTCAAGCATCTCTCAATTTGTGTTCTCTTAGCACTTGTAGCACAATGCAGTCTGATCTTGGAACAACTTGATGTGTAGACTGCATTCCTACATAAAGAATTGCAAGAGGAGATCTACATGTTGCAGCCGCCTGGATATGGAGCATAAAAAAATGTTGTTTGCAAACTAAATAAGTTTTTATATGGGTTGAAGTAGTCACTATGACAATGATATAAAAATGAGCAATGCAAGAATGGACAGGAGTACGCGAAGAGCCAGTAAGATCATTGTGCATATTTCCAAAAATTGGTCAATGACGAGTTCATTTACTTGCTTTTATATGTTGATTGCATCTGTCAGTCATATTGGGGGTTGATAAGATGAAGAATCAACTGTCCAAACATTTTGAAATGGAGTTGAGTGAAGCTCGTAGAATTCTTGGCATGGAGATTCTCATGGACAAGTATGTTGGAAAGGTTTAACTTTCGTAAGAAGCTTATGTTCGTAAGGTGTTGAAGAAATTTGGGGTTGATGAGTTAAGTAAGGCAGCGAGTCTACCCTTTGCATTGCAGTTTTAGTTAAGTTTTGATCAGTTTCTTGAAGATGATCAAGAAAGGAAAAATTTGTGATCGGTTTCTTATGCTAGTGTAGTAGGCAGTCAGATGTATACATGATTTGTATTAGACTATACATTGCATTAGTAGTTGGTGTTGTGAGCAAATTCATGCATGATCCAGAAATGAGTCATTGACAGGTTGTGAAGAGTATTCTAAGGTATTTGAAGGGTACAATTGATATTGGTTTGGTGTTTGAGAGACTGCCATTCAATGTAGATTTGTGTGTAGGCTACACTGACTCAGACTATGCAGGTGAAATGAATAGACAGAGATCTACAACTGGTTATTTATTCACATGGGTAAGAGATTCAGTCAGTTGGAGATCAGTTCTCCAGTTTAATGTGTTTTGTCTACTACAAAGATTAAGTACATGACAATCACAGAGGCGATGAAGAAAGCTATATGGACGCATGACTTATTGTATGCCTTGGGAGTTGATCAGATGTCTCTGATGATGTTCTGTGACATTCATAGTGCAATATTATTGGCTACAAATTCAGTTCATCATGCTCGTACCAAGCACATTAATGCGAGGTACCATTTTGTTCGAGATTTGATTGAAGAAAGGAAGTTTCTATTGAATAAGATAAATACGAAGAATCCAATGAATATGCTCACGAAGGCATTGTCAGTCCAGAAGTTCAGTTAATGCATGAACTTGTTGAACATCCAAGTTCATGACTGATTGCCCAAAAGAGCATTTTGAAAAACTATCGAGGTTTGATCCCTTCAAGAGGGAGGTACGTAGGCAACCATCTTGGTGCACCAGAATTGAAGTTTGGAGCTCATTTGGTCATCTTTCACTTATACGTGGAGATTGTTGTATTTTATGATTTTATTTTAATTAGGGGTAATATGACCTTCTGACTTTCTTTTACTTGTAAGCTCTAGTCGTCCTATGTAAAAGGGACTTGAGGGCTTACGAGATTTGCTTGGTGAGAAGTGTTAAAATTGCAACCCAATTCTTTTTTCTTTCTCCCATCAGATGCTAGTAGAATCTCCCTCTACGTGGACGCAGACAAATCAAAGTAATACCAAACCACATAAATTTTTTGTTTTTGATTGTTATTGTGTGAATTTCTATGTTTTCACATAACAATATGAAAGATTACAGTCTGTAAAAATAACAAGTCAAGTATATAGAAATGTAAAAGAAAAAAAAAAAAAAAAAAGAAAGAAAAAAAAAAAGAATGGCGTGTATGTAAAGGCCCCTAGAAAAATAT